ATATTCGATAATATCTACTATATGTGCACAATATTAGATGTCATTAGAGTTCATCTTGTGTCACGTCATTGATGACAATGATTAATGTCACTTTGATTAGTACAGGGGATGTCATGTCATTAATGTCATTATGTTTGACAAATAATGAAAATATTATAATGGTAACCTATTTCTTACAGACTCCAACGAAGAAATACAAATAAACATATTTCATTAATTAATTATATTGTATTACGTATGTATGTAAAAGTATATGAAGTACATTAAAACAAATTTATTAAGAAAAATATTTGATGTGTTAAATTGCAATTAAATGCCAATTCGTAATTCTTAGAATTATTTAATAAATTATATCGATATAACGTCCATATAAATTTTTATTAAAATACATTTCAATTACAGACGACATACGCATTTCAATCAAATTTATTATGAAATAATTAAATTACGTACTATTTTATGTAATTCAAGGAAAATAAAAAACGTATGGGAAAATTCGAAATGACAACTAGAAAATATGACAAATAAACTGAATTCTATATAATTATATTTTAAATTATGAAGTGATAAAATAATTCATCTATATGTATGTATATAAAAGGGAAGTCGTGTTAGTTACACTATTTATAACTCAAGAACGACTGTAGAGATATGGTTGAAAATTGGTGGAGAGATAGCTCAGAACCAGGAGACGGACATAGGATATCTAATTCTGTTCGATTGAAACAAAAAAACTTAATAAACTCCAATATTTGGTTATTTACGACTTCTAGTACGTAATAGAGTTCGTTCGGTCAGCTATACATATATTACTAATGCCGAAATTGAAACAAAGTCGCGGGCAAAAACTAGTTTATATTAAAAGTGATAATCTAATAGTAAGCGTTGTTTGTTTCGCGATATTCATTATAAATATATTAATGGATTCCGATGAAAGATATACTTGAATGGATCGTAAATACGTCAATGTTGCATTAGTACTGAAAAGTTCTTCTAAAAATAATGTTACTATTCCTTTAATAAAACAGCTGTTGGTGCATTTCGTTTTATTATATCTGAAACTTGTTTGTTTTGCTGCTTTAAGTGTTTTTTTACATTTGTAAACCATTACGTGTGAGTTCCGAATTTTTTATATGTAATTTCGAGTGAGGTTTTCTCCAGAAATACGCATCTTCATCAAGTTCAATTTGGTTTATTTATGGATAGAAGGAATTTTAATTAATTAATAAGAATGCAAAACAATTATCTTGTGAGAGAAAATGACTTTCCTTAATTACATATTCTTATTATTATAAATTAACTTGAAGTGTTAATCTACTAACACTTACAAAGTATTTTGTAATGTTTTAGTTTATATGTAAGAGCTAATATCGTCTTAACAAGGCTGGCTGTAAAACGGTATTCGGGTTCGATTCCTGTCTGATCAATTACCATAAACACTAATGCTTATTTAACTCACTAACTTTACCATGAGAACACATCGTTAAACTACATACAAACAGTTTTTCGTATTTACTATGTATTTCATCACCGTATCTATATATTACCTTCTTACCGACGAAAATCTACACAGATTTAAATGAAACAAGACTTAAAGATAGACAGAAACTTGGAAAAAGACTCAATAGATGACTTAAAGACTTTTAAAGCTGTTTTTTTAAGTAAAATATGATTTATTCACTAACAAAACTCTTATTCTATTAATAAACTTTATGTATATAAATTAAATAAATCGTCTATCTGTGATGACAAAATATAATCTAGATACATTATATATGCATATACAAAGGCTTTGTACATTTACGATAACAAAATATAATTCATTCAATATTTGTATATCAGTTTTCATTTCGACTTCACGCTTAATATAAGTTGACATCGTCACACTATAGACGTCACGTTAACAGTATTATCATATGTAATTGACTCAGAAACAGGAAACGCTACGTATTTAGAACGATGTAAACTCGTACTAAGCGGTGTATTGATTCTACAAACGGTCTTTGATAGAACGTTAGTGTATGTTAAAATAATTATTTTTCCATATTAATGAAGAATAACTATGCAGCTCTTAGAAATATAAAACGAAGAACTACAAGTCGCTAATGCCATAGGTTTTATTTGTATAACATTTTGGCTCTTTTTAATCAATATTTCCTTTCCATCCAATATCACCTTTATTACTTTTGATTATAAAAAGTATTACTTTCATTATCAAGGTCAAAAAGCGTTTCGGTATATGAATGTACAAAAGAAATTGAGTCTAGTTGACAAGGGAGTGTGTAAAGATACATATATCCACTTAATTTTATACAATTGAAGTTTTTTTCTGAACACACTCGAGGTGGCACAGCTGTAAGGAGCCGAGGGTTCATCTTCAGCAAGAAATGATCAAACTTTATCTTTAAACCGGTATGAGTGCAAACAAGTATTTAGCTGCGCACGCGCATGTGCTAACCAATCGCAGCAGTGCAGCACAAAGGGCGGAGCTATATAGAACCTTTTCAATAATTACCGGTAATTTTAAAGGCTTCAATCAGATAAACCTTTTTATGGGAACAATGCCTTGTCATAATATTTTTATGTATATATTTTTTGTTCCTTATAAAAATGATACGCCATTTTCTTATGAGTGAGACGTTCCGTTCTTGATGATTATCGTAAAGTTTTGTGCCGCTGTATAATTTGGTTGATGTTATTTTGTATGGATTTTTAGTTTGTATGTCTGTGTGTACTCAGAGTTATATTGAGAAAAATATTAGTAAAGAAGTTACGATAAATTTGTAATATTATAAAGTTAGTCAAGATATTCACATCTCGTCTGCCCGTGATCACGGTTGCTGAAAAGAAGCCGAAACGCCGGGAGTAATGTAGTTTTTCACAAAAATAAAGTCGCGTAGTATACCTAATCCGAAAAATAATAGTTTCATTTAAATACTATAAAGTTATTTAAATAAAGATTGTAAAATGCATTCTGTAAGTTACAGGTTACGATACCATTCGTGTAAATACATTCTTTATTGTATGTTTTATTATATAAATTTAAATACAAATGTTAGAACAATATTGCTTTGATATAAAAAAGCATAGTTTTAGTTATACATGTAAAAATTATATTGCTATAGATTTGTGTGTGAAAATGTACTTAATGGTTATTTAATATAATATTGTCAGAGAGGTTGTTGTTTTAATTTTCCTTAATATTAAGAAACCTCTATCTAAGTAATTAGTTGAACCTGAATATATTACATAAAGAATGCATCTACCACAACTTTTTCAATATAATCTTAATGTTCGTGACCAAATAGTTTTAAAAGAAAACTTAAGTTATAATATTTCTTTAAAGTAAATAATATTAATAACAACATATATATAGGGCCATATAAAGAACACAAAATCGAAAGGTCTTTAATGTAAATAAAGTATAAAAAAAAGGAATAAATATATATACTTTATACATTATATTAAAAATTAATTTCTTTTTTATGTCTTAAAAATCATTTTCTATATTGGCTCAAATCACTAACCTTCTCTTTATTCTGACATCTGTCAATTCGACGAAGGTTGCATTTTTTGGTGATTGACAGTTGGTGTTACAAAAAACTAACATTTCACGACTTAATATTATTCATATAGAATCCTTAATAAACATGCTATTTTAAATTTTCGTTAATTATTAGGTTTTTGTGTGTATGAGTAGGTACTTTGAAACTGAAAGTAATTGGTTTGACGTGAAAATCGTACTAGGTTTATCTAATATATGTCTTTAAAATAATATGCAAAGAGAAAATTAATAATATGGCAGTTTAAAAAATACAATTCTTAATTTAGTTGAAATTGAACATTATATGCTTAGATCACATTAATATATATACCAATTTTTGAAAGCCACTACGTCTGTGTTAGTTTCAGAATTAGAAATGTATAGCTGACCGGGCGAACTCTATTCCTTCTTAAAGGCAGTAGATAAGAAGATTTTGGATAATATTAACTTTTTTATTTTCCGATCTCATGAAAAGTATCCTATGTCCTTTCTATGTTCTAAGCTATCTCTTTACGAATCTTCATTCAAACCCGTACAGACGTTCTTGAGTTATAAATAGTGTAAAAAAAACGACTTTCTTTTGTATAAAAATATAAATAAAAATATATTGGAAGTTCCATTAATACAATTTATTACTATTTTCAATATACAGAAATAATAATTATATACTTACTTTAATTTTAACATCAAAATAAAGTAACAAAATATATATTCAAGCCAACATCTATCTAATATTAAATTAGTCCTCTCAAAAGTATAACTAATGGATTCAGTTATAGAAAAAAAAATCCCAATTCTCACTCAGGATACGAAATTGCTCTCAATTATATAATTGGAGTTATTTAGAAAATTGGACCCTTTTAAGTTCAGTCGTATTATAAATAATTTTTATATTCATCGAAGTGGAAATGTACTAAATTATTTACTATATAAATATATTAAATTCTTTAATTATTTCCCCGTAACTAACCACGTCGTAAATGGTCGCGTAATTTTATTATAAGAAGAAAAATTTAATCAATAATAATATTTACGGTTTTATTTGACTGGTCTCTTGATATTTGATTTGTCCTACTTATTAGCTACATCGTATTTATTTCCTATAAATAAAACGCCTGTCAATATATTTTATACGCACATCAATACACGTATATATAACACGGATTTTTTAAAGAAATTATTCAGATTTAGAAATCCATTGAAGGTGAGCAATTGAGAAATATTCTAATACTAATAATTTTATATTTAGGAATAATGTTTTTCTTATCTATAAAATAATTTCTTTTATTGTACCTATTACTCTCAACTCGTAACTTCTTTTATTTTTTTCTATACTTTCATCCTTTTTTCTACATTAATAATATTTTACTATATTATAAATTTATGTAAAAATATCCTAATTATATGATAAATAATATTAATTAAAATGAATATATATTTCAGTAATCTGTCTATAATGGCGCGTGTTTGCATGTATTTGCTTTTGGCCCTGGCCCTGGTTGGCCTCTCCGAGTGCCGTAATGCTGAGGCCAATTATAATTACGACAGCGCCAATTACAAGGGATCCGCCAATTACAAGGACTCTGCCAATTACAAGGGATCTGCCAATTACGGTGAAGCCAACTACGCCAATGACAGAGCACACGCTCCCGCTTATAATGCTGCAGCCAGTCAGGGTTATGCTGCAAATGCTGCCAATGCTGCTAATGCTGCAAATGCAGCTTACAACTACGCCGACAACAAAGCAGCTTACAGCGGTAATGCAGCAGCCGGTTATTCAGCAAACGCTCACGAAGCTAACTATGATGCAGCCAGCTCAGCTTATAGAAGTTCTGACAACAAGGCTGAGTACGCCAATTATAAGCAGAACTCTTACGAGGATAACAAAGCTGCTAGCGAGAACCCAGCTTCTTACAGCTATAATTCCGCTGGATATGCTGGATATAGTCATGAGAACGAAGACAGCCGAAGACGTTACCCATACAACCTGCTCGGATCAAACAACCGCTATTCATCGCCATACAGCAGTCTCTACAAATACTACGGTCTAGGAAGAAGCGCTGAGAACGCTGAAAATGCAGCGGCAGCGTACAGCGAGAATAATGCTGCTGGTTCAGCTCGTGAGGGTAATGCAGCTGAGTACGCAGAATCCAACGAAGAGACCAGAAGATACTTAAATTATCCGTATTATGGTTACAACGGTTTATACTCCAATGGCCTGGGTTTAGGTAACTATCTAAATCTCTAGAAGAATATCTCTACATTCATCGATTGCGTCATCGTTCTTCTGAAGATTTCCTCCGGATTTCACCTTCTATCTGTCGTATTTCCAAAAAAAAAATTCGATTTTTTTTCCCTCGTATATATGATGTGAAATTATAATACATTTATTTCAAAATTATTTGTGTGTTTTATTTGATATACTTTATTTTTGTTTTATTTGATGAAATGTAGTTTTTTGAATGTTTCAAAGTAGAAAAGATGCAATGGTTAAATTGAAAAAGGAGAAATATTTCTAAATATTTTCATTATAAGTCAAAAAAAATGGGTCTTTACTTATGTTGAGTGCTAGAACCAAAAAAAACTAGATTAATCTATTAAGAGAAACTAAAAATTTAGTTTCTAACTTATAACTAAATTTTTTATGCAGTTCAACAGAATTTCGTAAAATTTTCGGCATTCTGACAAAAAAATAAATCTCTTCAAAATTATCGTGTTTCTGAAAACCTTAAGAACTTCCATACAATTGAAGTATTTAATTTTAACTACTAGAATTTCATTTAAAGAATAAACTAAATGAAATTAAAAACACAGTTACCGAGCATAAAATCTCAAAGCTTATCACATATCAATATCAAATCTTCAGTACAAAATGTCAGCCATTGTTTAAATAGTTTTTAAAGCGAGTCAAATTGATTACATCACTCAATGAAAACCATAACTTCATTTAGACTAACGCATACACCTGGATTCGTTCGTTCATTATGAAAAATATTTAAGCAAACATTTTGTATGTTAGAACTATTCCGATAGAAAAAAGTTACTTAAAAATTAAAATTAAAATACTAAGTTTCTGTAATTGATGTATAAAATATTTAATGTCGTTTTTTATTTACTTATGAAGTAATTATAATATCTTAAAATCATTATCTTTTCTAAACGCTTGTCTGTTGTAGAATCTGACGTTTAGGCCTCGGCCTCGAATCTCGCGGGTAGCGGGGCGGCAGCGGGAGCGGCAAGATCATACGCGTATAATCAAATGGACCGACCCTCGAATACAGCGGTGCAGGAGCAGGGCGGGGGCGGGCAACGAGCGGTGCACGGGTGCACTCCAGTGAAGCGGTGACCGCCCGCGTTGCGCGTCTGCATTGTAGTGTTGTAATTTTTTTTTTGTGACGTATCAAAATGTATTCGGACGTGCAAGAGCAAATTATTTCGGCAATCTTTGAGAGGACACCCTTATGGAACAGCAAAGATGTGAACCATAAAAATAGAAGATGAATTAACCAATTATGGGAAGAAATAAAAAACGAACTGAATATTGAAGGTAAATATAATAATGATTTATTATGTCAAATACAATATTTATTATCTTTTACAAATTAATTAGTAACTAATGCGATTATTTACAAAATAATCTTTGAATTTTTCACGTGTAAGCAATTTGTAATTGTAAACAAAAGAACAAATTTCTTAGAAAGTTCGGTATGACTGTCGAGTTTATTGCGGGTTAGGATAACAAAGCGACAAAAGAGCGTACACAGCTGCGCAGTTTTTACTAATTTTAGCCACTTAAAAGGTATTTTTTATTACTTAATTGTTGTCGTTATATAGAGTTTACACTGATTTACTAAATTAGTGCAACACAATTTCTAAAAGATATAGATCTAAATCGTTTTGAATTAATTCCAGACTCTAAATCACTCTTGATAGTTTCAAGAATATAGTCAAATGTTTCTACACTCATTCTGGTGTAGTCGTAGAATCTGTCGGGATTTTGTCTCTGTTCTTCATAGTTTCGATAAAACTCGCCATTTATTTTCCTTGCCCTATAGTAGGGATCCACTTCTTCTTTTGCCCACAATAAGTCGAGCATTAGGAATGATTTCGAATCATAAAGATGTCGCCGTTTTTCAGACATTTTGTTCGCGAATAAAACAAATATCTCGACAACACAACCACGAACACAACACTACACCGCTATAGTGCCGCGCGATCTGCCCGCTAGTTTCGAGAACAGGTATGCGTTGCCCGCCCCCTTGGCGCGCCGCTGCCGCTGCCGTCCCGCTACCCGCGAGTTTCGAGGCCGAGGCCTTAAGGTCCATCACCATTGGCGTCTTAAATTTTTTATTGGCGGCCTTTGTTTTACGGTTTCTTTGTACTTTTTTATAAATTTAGCTTTGTTTTTATTTATTATGATACAATAACGATTAAAATATATCGAGCATTGAAGTTGTAATGTTATAAAACGATATATACATAGCGGTTCTTAACTTTTGAGAAACATCGAAAAAAATAATTTTAAGGTAGTAGAGGTTGTTGATAGAAACAGTTTTATTTAAGAGCAGATAAAGATATAGATTTTCTTCTTCTTCTACCTGGCATTTTCCCAGCTTTCGCCAGGGTTTGCCTTACATACTGCGACTAGTTTTGGCTAATTATTTTTACGACCGGCGGCCTGCCTGACATCAACCCTCTTTGGGAATGCATTAATATCTCCGCGCTTGCTCAAAACGGGTTGGTGATTTCAAACGTAGAATTGTGAAATTATAAGTCCAAGTTGTTGAAATTATAAGTCCGTCTGTTAATGGTGTCTAAATACTCTTAGAAAGAACATATGACTCGGAAAAATCACATTTGTTCTTGCCAGGATCGAACCCGCGCCCTCATGTATGAGAGGCGGGCCTTTAACCACTAGACCACCACTGACTTATAGATATAGATTTTAGTTTAATGTCAATTATATTTTTTTTGAGAAAGTATTCAATTTAAAAACATTTTATTTTTGTCGATACATTTAACTGTCAATTTATTTTTCGAATATTCTTTCTTTATACGAGACATCTACTAAATAAAATTATTACGACAAAATTAATTTAGGATATTTCGTTAGCGTCTTTTTTATATATAAATATATCTTTACCTTACAATTGTGTTGATACTAATAAAGACTTTATTAAGTAAAATATATAAACAAAAATTTTAAGTTACATTTCAAGCTCGATTTGATATACTTACAGGTATTGAAAGGATTCGATTTTCTTTAATTAAAATATTCATTTGTTATATTTTACAACCCCCCGTCCACGTGACGACTCCGTGACGGATCCTAATTCGTGAGGCGTCGTGGGAACGCTCACGACACGGTCACGACACGTGACGTTACGATCGGACGATTATTTTGGTGTAATGAGAACATATTGTTGATAAATAAAGTGTTATAGGGTTATTGGGTGTTTATAAACATTATTTTGAACCTATCATTATGTTTGAACGTAATTTGTGAGCGTTACTATACGAAATTAGGAATTTTCTTTCACTTACAAAGTGTTTTTTTATTAAACTACTAGCTGACCCGGCGAACTTCGTACCGCCCTACAATCAAGAAATATCTGTTCCCTTTTTATATAATCGAAGTTAATTACTTTATTAACTATTAATGACCCGACAGACAATGGTCTGTCTTCTTAACCGTGATTATTGAATTCTTATTAAATGGTATATTAACAAATCAAAATTATTCTAATGCTTTAATCTATTTGGAACCTGGAAAAGAAGCTTGACAATTACATTTCTCCTATATAGGTGTTGATCTAAGAGGACTGACTGAACTCTGTGAAGATTCAAAGTACGTTTATGTATTTTTAATGATACAAAGTATTGTACTACATACTGTCATTGTTATTTTATACTCAAATATAGCACGTTCAGTATACGATTATTGTCATGAAAGGTATCTTGAAAATAGCAAAGCGGTGGAGGAATAAGGAATGAAAAAAAAAAAAAAAAAAAAATATACACCCTATGTGGTTAATTAATATAAAATGAAGAGTATAAAAGTATATAGGATTTGTTCTGCATTGTGTATTGTTATTAATGCGTCATTCATTTCACGATATGGTGCTGGCATTCCTAACCTGATTAATGAATTACTACTCATGAGGTAACACATATCTTCGATCAAGAGTAAAGCACGATTATGTATCTCCTCATTCATCACAATATCGTGATTTCTGGAACTGACACGAATTTGATGTAAAATATCTTCTGACATATTATCCTTGTATTTGTGCCACAGGTTATATGGGTTTGATGGAAAACATGTCGAAATAATGATAGCGAATAATGTGCGTATCTGACTTGGAGATGCAGAAATAATGGCTTCAGAGATTGTCGTAACCCAGTGACTATCGTTTTCTAATAACTTCAGTTCTTCACATGCAGCACGATTTGTTGGGAATATTACACCATTGACAGTTCGTAGTGACTCAAATGACGTTGGCCCACGCACATTTACCAGCAACAACCGCAAATAGAAGCATTCATTATTCTTTGGATGAACTGTATACATACGACCAAGAGCATCAGTAGAACGCACATCTGGATACCCAGGAACCGCATCGCCTTGCTTCCGTCTTTGAAAATTCTTCGATGAAGCATTCCAAGTATAATAACGTGGCATCTCCGAGTAAAGCAAAGTTCGTGCAAACCGATCGCTTTGGCAGATTGCAAAAAAAAACTGGTCAATGTAGTTGCTGGAGGTGTTTCAGCACGTTGCGTAGCATTCGAAGCCGTGAAATATACTCGTTGACCATTCTCCAGATGCACCGCCAAATGCGTAACAGTAGGATGACGTTCGTGAATGGGAAATGCGAATGAAGTGAAATTTCATCGTTGGTATTCGAGGATTGTAGTCCAAAAACCGCCATATCACTGCCTTTCGTGAGATATTTGCAAATATATTTTATGGACTTAACTGAATTGCAGTATTCAACGTTGCAATGTGTCTTGAACGTTTTAGAAATAAGTGGCGAATATGGAACAATCCAACTGTTGTCGATAACGAAATCCATGCTTTTCACTTTCGTTGTGACAGTTCGACCATTGTCATCTGGTGATCGACGCCGATAGAGCGGATAACCATCATTGCCAGTGACAGTTTCCGCCGTTAATTTCCGTGGATATCGTTTAGAGCACTTTCCATCGACCATGCAAGGTGATTGCGGATTGATGGCACCACACGGTCCG